TATAGTGAGGAAAACAGACCCACACCTTCATGAAATATCCTGGAAAATGGCCCCAGACACTTATACTTGATTCTGTTTGTAAACAATATACTTTTGTCTACCCTGCAAAATCCATACCCACAAATTCAGGTATTTACTTCCCCCCCCCCCCTCAAAATGTCCTTTGGTCTTTAGATAACACACATACACACTCCACTCCGCTTTGGGAGTCTGTTATTATTGATGTATTTATTTAAGCTTCCCATAGTGTGAAATGCAGACTCACAAATTGGATAGTTAACCTATATTCCTTAGCTGGTGCTGGTATTCCTCCCCGTAATCATAATTGTTATACTTACTCTGTTGCGGCTCTTCCCATGCCTTTGGCACACTTTTTCCTCTGAATTCCCACCATCCTGCTCTTTTGCAGAACGGTATTTGGCTATGGTTTTATTGCCATAGAATAGACATGATATTGGGAAAAGGGAACCCTCACAATTTTGTGTAGGTTTCTTATTGCATATTTACTCCATGCTCAATGCACCAAGTGGAGGATGCATTAGAGAGGTGTAGCACAGTGGTTCTCAATCTTCCTAATGCCATGCCCCCTTAATACAGTTCCTCATGTTGTGGTGACCCCCAACCATAACATTATTTTTGTTGCTACTTCGTAACTGTAATTTTGCTACTGTTATGAATTGTCATGTAAATATCTGATATGCAGGATGTATTTTCATTCACTGGACAAAATTTGGCACAAATGCCCCATATGCCCACATTTGAATAGTAGTGAGGTTTGGGTGTGTGTGTGTGTGATTTTGTCATTTGGAAGTTGTAGTTGCTGGGATGTATAGTTAACCTATAATCAAAGAGCATTCTGAACTCCACCAACAATGGGATTGAACCAAACTTTGCACACAGAACTACCATGACCAACAGAAAATGCTGGGTTTGACCTTGAGTTTGGGAGTTGTAGTTCGCCTACATCCAAAGAGCACTGTGAAACAATGATAGATCTAGACCAAACTTGGCACGAATACTCAATGTGCCCAAATGCAAACACTGATGGCATGAATACCCAAATGCGAACACTGGGGGAGTTTGGGGAAAATAGACCTTGATGTTGGGGAGTTTTAGTTGCTGGGATTTATAGTTCATGTACAATCAAAGAGTATTCTGAACTCTACCAATGGTGGAGTTTAATCAAACTTAGCACACAGAACTCCTGTGACGAACAAAAAATACTGGAAGGGTCTGGTGGGCATTGACCTTGAGTTTGGGAGTTCACCTACATCCAGAGAGCACTGTGGACTCAAACAATGATGGATCTGGATCAAACTTGGCATGAATACTCAATATGCCCAAATGTGAACACTGGTAGAGTTTGGGGAAAATAGACCTGGATATTTGGGAGTAGTAGTTGCTGGTTCACCTACAATCAAAGAGCATTTTTAGACCAAACTTGCCACACAGAACCCCCATGACCAACAAAAAATACTGTATTTTCTGATGGTCTTTGGTAACTCCTCTGATACCTCTTGCCCCCCCGCCCCCCCCGGTTGGGGGGGATTGAGAAATACTGGTATAGAGTATCTGTGCTTTCGAAATCTGAATGTTAAGTTCAACGGGTTATAGCTCTCACCAGCATTTGTGGTGACAGTTTTTTGCAATTTTCCTTTATGAAGCAATAATAGTGAAGTGGCACCCAATTCTTTTGCATTTAAAAAAAATTAAGATCATAGAGGCCTCCAAAGGTCATCTAGTCCAACCCTTTGCTAAAGCATTCTTGAGAGGTGAGCATCGAACCTCTCGTTGAAGTCTTCCCAAGGAGGGTCTGCCATGCTATTTGTGTGTTCCTTGAAGGTCAACCACAAGTGGCAGAGCTTCCCGAGGCAAAGCAGCAAGTACAGCCATCCCACTAAATGATTTTTATATCTTACTAGAGTTTGGAAATACTGGCTTTGGACTCCCAAAATCTCCAGGATTCTGGATCAAAGATTTTAGGAATTGTAATTTTTTAAAAAAGGAATTCATCCAAGCCTTGCATTGCAAGCATTTTGCCCCCATTCTCTGGCAGCATGGTAAATTGAATTGACCTATTCAGAGAATTTCCTAGAGAGAGATTTTAATCAAACCTGTAAGTCGAAACCGCAAATTTAGAGGGCTGACTGCAATACCTTTTGGTGACACTACATACATGCTGCCTTTTTGCTTTACCCTTCCCAATTGGTATTAATATTTGATGCTATTTGAGTCCTGGGCAGTAGGGAGAATCCTCTTTCACCTTTGGGAGTTGGGAGTGGACTGTTCAGTCTCTCTAGAAAATATGTGCTGTAGTCAGGCTGACTTTGATATCCTCCTGGCTGTGATTCTTGTCCGTCCATGCCTCTGAATGGTTTGCTGTTTCTCATGTGCAAACATATTCAGGATCTTGAGAGCAATCTTTCAGATCTTCTAGTGTTAATGGAAACACAACGCTCTTCTCTGGAGATAGTGGAAGGTAAATAACCTATGCTAAAAGGTGCAATGGCCATAGATACTGTGAACCAGACTCTAGACCTGTTCCTTCCCCTCACCTTGTAATCAATTATAGCAGAAGGGACTTATGATTTGAATTCAATGCCTGAAGAAACGAGCTGGAGTCTCTTGGTTTTTTGTGAGCCTATTAAGCGACCTCTCGGCATTGGCTTCTGCTGCTATAAAAGGGCAGGCATGAGAATTACATTAGTGGCTTTGACCTTTTGCATTGCCCTGATCCCTTAACAAGCGATCTTATCAAGTCACTTCTGCGGCTCCCATAGGAATCCTTTTCTCAGGGGTTGGCTCTTTGCTAGTCCTGTTGACGTTTATGGGCAACGCAAAACTAAAACTAAGCCATCAACTATTTTTAGATTCCATGTAGGAAAGGCATGCTAGTCTTCGTGCATATTCCTGGGCAAGCAGAACAAGAGGCTTGTTGTTAAAGCTAAACTGGTTAAAACAATAGAATTCAGGCTTACATTCGTTTGCTGCAAAAAAATTGGCAAACGGTACTGTCAATTATTGTGCGGCAAAATCTATTTGGCTACCAATATTTCTAATACTAGGACTATTATTATTATTACCATTATTATTATTATTATTTAGTATACAATGTTTACATACTTGTTTGGAATTAAATGAAGGACATTTAAATTAAACAATTAAAACGAGTACATTTGGGGATTTGTCTCTTTATTTGGAGCCTGCACAACTTTGGACAAATTAATGTTCAGTGAAGTAAGTCTTGGTACTTTGGGAAATTTTAATCACCATAAGTAAAATTAAAGCATTTAAAAATACTTACATTTGTAGTTAACAAGGATTTCCGCAGACCTGTATGTAAAAAGGTGCTGAAGGCGCACAGAGAGCTTGGTGAAGACTTGCAGATGGGAGTTCATGAAGTTTGTTATTGGGGCAAAATACAACAACAACAACAACTTTATTTTTGTATCCTGCCTCCATCTCCCCAAAGACACTCGGGGTGGCTTACATGGGACAAGCCCAAACAGACATAGATTAAAAACATGACACAGTAAAATAAACATCATAATAACATAAAACAACATCATAAAACAATCAGTAGCCTGAACAGTAATAAATACTGAGGGTAGGAGCTTGTGCAGTATAGTTTCAAGACAGGGGCTGGGAGGGCAATGTCATTTAGATCGCCAGAACTGTAGGGCAGGGGACAGTGATAAAGTGTAGGAGCTGATAGTAAATAATATTTTTTGGGAGGGGGGGGGATTAATCTGGTGAACTGTTTAATCACAGGCACAGTGAAACATGCATGTTTTTAGGTCTTTGCAAAAAGTGGACAGGGTGGGTGCCAGTCTAATCTCCCTGGGGAGAGATTTAGAGTCAGCAGGCCGCCACCGAGAAGGCCGTCTCCCTCATCCCCACCAACCGCGCTTGAGACGGAGGCAAGAGTGAGAGCAAGGCTCCCTAGAAGGTCCTAGAGCAGCAGTTCTCAACTACTGCAACGCTCTCTACGTGGGGTTGCCTTTGAAGACTGCTCAGAAGSTTCAAATGGTCCAACGCTCGGCAGCCAGGTTGCTAACAAGAGCGGCACTCAGGGAGCATACAACACCTCTGTTGCYCCAGCTCCGCTGGCTGCCAGTTTGCTACTGGGCACAATTCAAAGAGCTGGCYTTAGCCTATAAAGCCCTAAACGGTTCTGTCCCTACTTACCTCTCCGAACGCATCTCCTCCTATGAACCAACTAGGACATTAAGATCATCTGGGGAGGCCCTGCTCTTAGTCCCGCCTGCYTCACAGGRGCGCCTGGCGGGAACGAGAGACAGGGCCTTCTCAGTGGTGACCCCTRGGCTGTGGAACGCCCTTCCTATAGATATCAGATRGGCCCCATCCTTATTGGCGTTTCGGAGGAAAGTGAAGACCTGGCTGTTCGAACAAGCATTCGATTAAGCGGTGTAATGAATATAGGAATACGGAATAATGGATGATGAGATTGGATTCTGATTTTACTGATGAGACACTAATGATTGTTATATTGATGTTTAATTGTTGATGATGCTATTGTTTTAACTGTCCCATAATCGTTTTATGATGTTTTGCATTGAATTTTGCTGTTGTTAACCGCTTTGAGTTGCCTGAGGGCTGAGAAAAACGGTATATAAATGAAGTAAATAATAAACTCCCAGAAATCCCAGCCAGTTTACCAGCAGCTAGGATTTCTGGCAGTTGAAGGAAAAACATCTGGGGACCCACAGGTTGAGAACCACTGTCCTAGAGCTCGCATGAGTTTGTAAGGGAAGATGCAATCGCATAGATAGGCAGGTCCTGAACCGTTTAGGGCTTTGTAGGTGATAACCTGCACCTTGAATTGTGCATATGAACTCTGTATGGCAGGAGAAAGAGTATAGTTTGGGACAGGTCCAACTTCCTTGTTGTATTTCCTGCTGTTCTTGTGCATGAGTTAAGTTATAGGTGAGAATTGAGATTTATGTTCCACCTGACTAACTAATTTCTTTTCTGTTTAGAACCAGACCAGAGAAACTATGAAACAAAGCAAACAGGCGTTTCCAGTTCACAAGTCCCAGTGGAAAACCAGCTGTCTTCTTCGGATCATTGTGCCCCTAACAACTCTCCAGAAACAGAGCCATTGGTTAAGGAGTCCACAATCCCCTTAATGAACTACAAGGAATTTTTGAGAGCTGCAACACCACCCGAACCGGCGCTAAACCAAGAGTCTGAAAAGCATGGTGGAGGCCCTTCTAGTGAAAAATGCGAGGAGAGGTGCAAGGAGCAGCTGCAGCACTCCGTTGATCACGAGGAATGGGAAATGGTCCCTGAGCACTCGGGATGTGGCAGTGCTACAAGGAAGAGCAGTGTGGACGACGCTAGCAGCAAAGACACAGATCCCAGCAAGAGGGTTGCCGCAGTGTCTCCAATGCCGCAGACTGTCCACGTGACGTTCCGCGTCCATTACGTCACTCACTCGGAAACCCAGTTGCTTGCCGTCACAGGTGACCACGAATGTCTAGGCCAGTGGCAACATTATGTCCCCCTCAGGTGTGACAAGGATTGGTTCTGGTCAGACTCTGTTGTCTTACCTGTTGATACCCGAATTGAGTGGAAGTTCATAGTAGTGGAGAATGGGAAAGTGAGACGGTGGGAAGAATGTGACAATCGAACCCTTACGACTGAACATGTGGATCGAGTGGCCCATCAGTGGTGGGGATATCATTGAATGAGAGAGCTTGGGCCAAACACAGGGATTCTGGTTCTATTCCATTTCTTCATAGGAGTTCACACACATGCCCTTTTGCTTATTTTAGCACCTCTCTGCTGTATGTTTTGCCAGCACTGCCTTAGATTTAAGCCTCTCTCCTCCTAGTGCAGGCTTTAAGATATGAGGATACTCTTCAAAATAAATCAGACCAAAGCCTTCCTAGTGGAAGAGAAATCCTTAGGGCTTTCTAGTGGGTAGTCTTTTAACACATTTTCCTCACTGAAAGCTTTAAACCTTAAGCTTTTGATTGTATTGTGGGAAAAGACAGAAGCTCAGGGACAGCGGACTGCAGAACGGGTGAAGTGTAATTAAATTACACAATAACTATCTGTTATAATGTTCTTAACTTATTGTGATTCCACAAGAAAGCAATAAAAATGATTTTTAGACTGGTGACCGTCCTTTATATTTTCAAACCTGCAGCTGTCTTGCCCAAAAACTCTGGAATGCCAACCCTGGACTAACTAGATACAAGGCATCCATCATTGCGATTTCCAAGTTCCCTCCCAAACTACAATTTCCAGGATTCCATAGGTTGGTGATATGACTGTTAAAGTGGCATTAAACTGTTCTCATTTTCTGCTATCTATCCAAAACCAGTTACACCAAAAAGAAATGTCTAGGTCCAGTTAAGAGGGCAGATTTGGCCCCCAGGAGTTGTCATAGATTCGTGCTGGAAGACCAAGCAAATTCCTAGAGAAGATCCTTCTCTAATCTGGATCCTCTAGGGAGACTTAATGATGTGCTGGGACAGGAATTGCCCTCATAATTTAATGGTGCTTGGTCATATCTGTAGGAGCCCTCAGTGATGCAATTGTTCCAGCAGGACTGCTGACTGAAAGGTTGGAAGTTTGAATCCAAGGAGCGGGGTTGAGCTCCCATCTGTCAGCTCCAGCTTCTCATGCAGGGACATGAGAGAAGCCTCTCACATTATGGTAAAACATCCAGGCGTCCCCTGGGTAGAGTCCTTGCAGATGACTAATTCTCTCACACTAGAAAGGACTTCCTCTTTCTCAAGTCGCTCCTGATACACCAAAAAGTTATTTCTTTCTGTTACCCTGGTGGTCTTGGAAGGAAAATAGACAGCAGCCAAGTGACAGCCACATAGTAAATGGCAAACTTTGAGCCATCAAATTGGTAGGGCTTGCCATCTTGTTTGGATGCAGAAAAAGTAAGACCTAAATTGTTTCAAAGATGCTTTTTCTCCCTGAGACAAGTTTCACATGTGTTGGGGATGTGTGAGTTTCAGAAGTAGTGTTCAGCATGTGTCAGCTATAAATACTATACTTAAAATATCTTGGAGTGGGGTGGGGTTTGGAAACATAATTAGTCAAAAACTCCAGCTAAAGAGGGAATTATGAGTATTTGCTGGTGGTATACTCTTTTGGGTCTACAGCAGTGGTTCTCAACCTGTGGGTCCCCAGATGTTTTGGCTTTCAACTCCCAGAAATCTTAACAGCTGGTAAACTGGCTGGGATTTCTGGAAGTTGTAGGCCAAAACATCTGGGGATTCACAAGTTGAGAACAACTGGTCTACAGAAACCACAAGTAATTTTCCTTTTTTGAAAGTGCCACAGAACTCTCGTGTCTTTATCTTGTTTTCCTCTCTTATAACAAACTCAAAATGGCTTACGCTAAAAACAATACAAAGAGGCACGTTAGAAAACAGACCAAAACTGTGCTCTGGTCCCACTGTGAACTCGTTCTCTTTAGAACAAAATCGGTTGTAGTACCAAACTCATAGAGTTCTCAAGTTTAAGTGATAATAGAATCGGAATTAGCAATATGTGTTGTTAGATGCTACACATGCAATTAGTAATGCTGTAAATGCCGTGGGGATTTAAACAAGCCTGTGTGAATGTTGGACTGAGATCCTGGCCTGGGGAATTGTCAGAGGCTGTAGCCCAGGCATAGAGAAACTTTTGCCCTCTGGGGCTTTTGGACTTCAACTCTCACAATTCCTAACAGCCTCAGGCCCCCCCCCCCCCCAGCTGTTTAAGGAAGGGGCCTGAGGCTGCTAGGAATTGTGGGAGTTGAAGTCCAAAATCTCTGGAGGGCCAAAGATTCCCCATGCCTGTTATAGCCCTTTGCCCTTCTTCTCTTGAGATCTTGATCTAGACCCCAGTTGAAAGCAGTTCTCAGACCGAACTTACACAGGAACTTCACACAGTAACTTTTTTACACACAGCAGCCTTTATACCAGGGGTCCTCAAACTAAGGCCTGGGGGCCAGATATTGCCCTCCAAGGTCATTTACCTGGCCCTCGCTCAGGGTCAACCTAAGTCTGAAACGACTTGAAATCATACAACAACAATCCTATCTCATCAGCCAAAAGCAGGCCCACACTTCCCACTGAAACACTAATAAGTCTATATAAATAAAAATGTAATGTTCTTTGTGGGATTAACATAAAACCACTGGACGAATGGACCAAATTTGGTACAAATACCCAATACACCCAAATTTGAATACAGGTGAGGTTGGGGGAATGATTTTGTCATTTGGGAGTTGTAGTTGCTGGGATTTAGTTCACCTACAATCAAAGAGCATTCTGAACCCCACCAACGATGGAATTGAACCAAACCAAACATAACTAGAAGGGTTTGGTGGGCATTGACCTTGAGTTTGGGAGTTGTAGTTCACCAACATCCAGAGATCACTGTGGACTCAAACAATGATGGATCTGGACCAAACTCTACACGAATACTCAATATGCCCAAATGTGAACACTGGTGGAGTTTGGGGAAAATAGAATCTTGACATTTGGGAGTTGTAGTTGCTGAGATTTATAGTTCACCTACAATCACAGAACATTCTGAACCCCACCAACGATAGAATTGGGCCAAACTTCCCATACAGAACCCCCATGTGGGCCATAGCAACACGTGGCAGGGGATGGCTAGTATTTGTTAAAATTTTTCTTAATTTTAATTATTATATTGTTTTTAAGTGTTTTTGCACTACAAATAAGTATGTGCAGTGTGCATAGGAATTCATTTATTTTTTTTCCAAATTATAATTCAGTCTTCCAACAGTTTGAGGGACTGACCTGGCCCTCTCTTTAAAAAGTTCGAGGACCCCTGCTTTATACACTGGGCTTTTCTCACACAAGACTTCTCTCACACTGAGGTTTACCTCGCACTTCTCAGGACGACACTAGCTTTGGCTCTAAACGGCTTCGGCCTACTAAATCTTTCAGTGCTTGACTCACTTTTGTAATCAAAAATACCAAGTTAAATTTTAATATTTCTGACAGTTTGCATAGGAGAGCTTCTACTGACACAAATATAAATAGTTCCTCCAGTGCAAATATTAGATGCATGCACCACTGAGCTGAATTGTTTGAAGCATACTGTTCATAGGAGCGTATTTCTTTCCAGGTTTATTCCAAAACAGGCTGAGCTAACTTGGAAAATAGGACAAAGAATTTTAACTAATTTATCTATTTGGAGGGATAGTCCTGCTTCTCTTATTAGTTTCAGGACTCCAAAGGGATACTTATGATACATTATAACCTATAATCTTGAAATGCACTAAGAACAAAGCGTAGTAGTTACAAAATCAGTTTTGTTTCTTGAATCCCAAAAGATGACAGAGACAAGGCTGAAAGCAAATATTTCTGCATGTGCACAAACTGGTGTTGTCACAGCTATTAACCGATACGTTACAAAGGTTAAAACAGTCTTAACAGAGGCTTTTAAGTTTTGCAGATGGATTTAAAGGCATGTTGGGAGGCCTGTCTGAGAGGATTAGTTGCATTATTTAGCTGATTCAGACGTTCGCCATCTGAAAGCCACTTACCCGTCACTAGAATAGCTCAATGCCTGCTTCTGGGGAGTTCATTCTTGCGCTGGAAACATAATCTCAATTTGCCCGGCAGTCTTTAGCAGATATCATCCGAGAGCCACAGCACAGAAGTTCAAGGCAAATCCACGTGGCACCTGTTTCAGAGCCTCAGGCAGGACATCCGATCCTCTCCGGCCCACGCAGGCTGCGGCCTCGGTAGTCTCGCCATAAGGGTCTACGAATGAAAGACTACATGGATGACAGTCTCTGTTTCTGCCTTGAGGAATGGGAAAAGGGCAACTGAAATCTTACAGGAAATCAGTTCTAATTCTATGTATTGTTGAAGGTTTTCATGGCCGGAATCACTGGGTTGTTCTGAGTTTTCCGGGCTGTCTGGCCACGCTCCAGATCATTCTCTCCTGCATCTATGGTGTCCTCAGAAGTTGTGAGGTTTTTGGAAACTAGGAAAATGAGGTTTATATAACAAAGGATTTCCCCAGGCAGTAAGAAGTCATACTTTGAAACTGCTAGGCCATTAAATTGCAGCATTCACACCTACCTCAAACAAACAAGAGTTCTTTCTCCCACCTTGGATGTTGTTCATTCATTCAATCATCTCTGACTCTTCGTGACCTCATGGACCAGCCCACGCCAGAGCTCCCTGTCGGCCGTCACCACCCCCAGCCCCACCTTGGATATTCCACAGATATATATACCTCACTTGCCTAGTTTCCAACAGACCTCACAACCTCTGAGGGTGCCTGTCGTAGATGCAGGTGAAACGTCAGGAGAGAATGCTTCTGGAACATGGCCTTACAGCCAGGAAAACTCACAACAACCCCTGTTCTAATTCAGTTGCTTGTGTCCTAACTGTGTCTCTATGGAGTACAGACCATGGGTTCAAAACTTTCCGTCTCTAAGGAACTCTTTCCACATGACAAGCTGGAATGTGTCCAGAGGAGGGCGACTAAAATGATCAAGAGTCTGGAGAACAAGCCCTATGAAGAGCGGCTTAAGGAGCTGGGCATGTTATTTATTTATTATTCAATCTTATATACCGCCACTCCCCTGGGGCTCGGAGCGGCTTACAAGAACAGGCTAAAATCTAACACAATTTAAAACAATTTAAAAACAGCAATATCAAAGATCAATGGCCTGTCGAAAGATATGTCTTACATGCCCTGCGGAAAGCTGATAAGTTCCCCAAGGCACGGACTTCAGGTGGCAGACTTTTCCAGAGTGATGGTGCCACTGCTGTAAAGGCTCTGCATCTGGTTGTTGTTAGACGCAAGGTCTTGACATTGGGAATTTCCAACAAATCTTGGCCCTCAGAACGGAGGGATCTCTGGGGTTGGTAGGGGGTGAGGCGGTCCCTCAGGTACATCGGCCCCAGACCATGCAAGGCCTTAAAGGTGAGTACCATCACTTTGAAATGTTTAGCCTGAAGAAGAGAAGGCTGAGAGGCGATATGATAGCCATGTATAAATATGTGAGAGGAAGTCACAGGGAGAAGGGAGCAAGCTTGTTTTCTGCTTCCCTGGAGACTAAGATGCGGAACAATGGCTTCAAACTACAAGAAAGGAGATTCCATCTGAACATGAGGAAGAA